CTTCAGGAGCATTTGCTTTTCAGCTGTCTTTAGCTGTGAGCCTCTTTAGCTGCATCTCTTTTAAAGGTTTGTGTAAATAACTTTGGTTTTTGCCTTTATAGCATCCGAAGCTGAAGGAGGAACAGAAAATTTCAAAAGATTTAAATTTGGGAGGTACAGCAGGAACATCTGTTGGCAGCATGAGATGCAAAAGCTGTGGCTTCTATTCGCTTTCTAAAGGCCTTAGGGTTCTTTCTCACTTGGTCTGGTGGAACAAGAGCTTTGATGGGTGATGATCATTAAGTATAAGTGGTAGCCAAAGTCAGGCTTAACAATGTCAGATTACTTCTGAATGATTAGTTTCACACTTTCATATGAAATCTGAATATATGATGTTTTTATTGATCTGAAAGAGGAGTTTGCTTGTTTTGATGGATTCAGACTCACCAGAAAAAGTAAAATCTTCACAGAAACTCTTTAAAGATGGCCAGACATGCTTAAAGTGAGTTTTTTCATCACTTTGGAGACATTAAAGGATTAGTTTTTACCTGTAAAAGAGAGGGGAGCAGCAAAAAGGCCAAAAGAGGAAGCACATTTCAGTCATTTCCTGTCACACCCGCCTAGTTCAGCTGTTTGTTAGTCTGTCTGTACCCTAGTGAACACTTTGTAATCTTGTTATTTTTGGCTGTTGTATCAAATTAACTCAAATTAAACTTGTGCAGATTCCTGCAGACTTTTTTTTATGCCTAATCTATCTATCTATCTATCTATCTATCTATCTATCTATCTATACATCCATAAATCCATACATCCATTAATTTCCGGTGGTAGACCTGAGAGTGGCGCTAGTGTGTTTGGGTTTCCATCACTTCTACGACTGATCTAAACGCACTAAATCAGGAAAGAGTAATTCCATTTCTTTCACTGAGGGTTAGGTGAGTAATCCGTTGGTTGGTAGGTAGGACAGGTGTGTTTAAGGAGGCATGGCGTCCTCAGAGATACCTCCTCCGTCTATCAAGCAGGACGTGCGGATAGTCCCGCCGGATGGCTCTGTGTCCGGGGTGGTTGTCAGGGACTTGTTGGTGCAGGTTTCCCCGCTGTCAGTGCCATCCACGCGAATCCCCGTATACGGTGTTCCGCCATTCATCCCGAACATCCAGGTTTGGCAAACTGGCAAGCAGCTTCCGAACAATCAATTTGGGATGTAAAGATCATAAACTGAAGCATGTCCAGTCTTTGGAGTCCCCCACACAGACACTGGTGTTGTCCTTCAGGGTGAAACACGGGGATGGGCTGTACATGTGTGGAGATGTTGGACACAAAAGATCTGCATGTCCACACAAACAGAGTTATCCATTGATAAGGCAGTGGAGGAGCAGGAGGAAGCAGACAGGCTCCTCCTGTCTTTTAGAACACCTGAACTGTGGAACTTCTCGGAAGCATCAAAGAAGAGCCTTTATTCTGTGTCTATGAAGGTCCCAGACAGAGCAATGCTGGCAGGGGTCAGAGAGTCGAGGTGGTCTGATGTGTTGGCGCCAGCTTCATCTCCCAGGGGCAGCTGGTGGCCCCTGTGCAATCATCAGCCCACAAAGGTCACGCTGCCTCTTTTCATGCCTTTATGAAGCCTCTCAAACTCAAACTGGACCAACTGCACCAAGGAACCGGAAGAGTACCGGTGGAGGGTTAGGCTTCTTAGAGGGCGCGTTCACTCTGCATTAAAGGTCCCATTAGAATAAGCTTCTGCTTAACTGCTGAACGTGAAAATGGTAGATTTAGGTCAGAGTTGAAGTTCTTCGCTGGCTGTTGTGTGTCTGCATTCAGCTGCTCAGACGTTAGTCTGCATGTTTGCTCACCATGTACAATAATGACTAAATCATCTGTTTTAGGGAAATCATGGCCCCAAAATGAGCTCTGTGCTTCTTTCAGTTTCACAGGCAACATACTGTCGGTCACTGTTTGAAAAGAAGAAAAGAAGCAGAAGGAGTAAAAAAATACACTTTAATAGGCTGAAAGGCAGGAAGTACAAATGGGTCCAAAGTGACCCCTAAACACGGAGGGTTGAGAGGAACCGGCTGCAGATGGTAAATAATGTTTCCTATCACAGAATAAGTTAAAGACTCAGCATTTATTGAACAGCTCATTAAAACAAAGGGAGAAGCTGCATTGAGCAGCCAGCGGCTACCTCACGTTGGAGTACAGACACTCATCGGAGGCGCGCCGCGGCGCAGAGCTCCTGCGCAACCGGGGAACAGAGTACACCACATCTGAGCCCCCGCTGGGGGCTCTGACCGCGGGACGGGGGCCCCTGCTGGACAAATCCGCCGCTGCGTAGATGGGCTTATGTGTGCTGGCTGCAGCCTGCGGAGGGGAGAGCACAGCTTTTATAGATGCTCCGATACAATCAGCACAGTTTATAGCAGATCTTAGATCAGTGTTTTAAATCCCAGCTTTTCCTCGACCGATGGAACAAAATGGGGAAAAATGAGCGTCTCAGAGCTCTTAGTCTCAGATCGCGTAGGAAAAACTCCTCTGTGATGTCTGGGTGGCAGTCAGGATGGTGTGCATTCACCCTCAGATGTGCATGCAGACCCATTGACTTCCACACTGTGAACAGATGTGCATGCAGACCCACTGACTTCCACACACACTGAAAAGATGTGCATGCAGACCCACTGACTTCCACACACTGAACAGATGTGAACCTTGTTAGAGGCCTGACAGCATCTTTCTTCCAGCCCACAGCTGGAGCATCAGGCCTTTGCTTGAGATGAGTAAGTGGCAGAACTCCGATCAGAGCTGGTTCTTCTCCGTTTTCTTACTTCTGGCTGAGCGCTGTGGGCTGAGAGGAGGCTGTAGTCATCAGCTCCTTGCAGGTTTGGGAATGAGGCGCAGCTGTAAATAGTGGAGATCTGCACTGGAGGAGTTGTCTGTTGATTCCCCCTCTCATCCTGATGCAGAAAAAGAGGAATGAGTTTGTGTTTGCTTTCAGTTTTTTAACAAAAACGTTAAAAAGGTTTCTCAAACTCACCTCGTTGATGCTCTCATACTCTGTTTGCTCACAGCGATCTGAAAAAAACCCTCTGATTTTACTTCTGAAAAATGCTGAACCCCCTCCGCCCCCAAAAACAAAGATTCCTCACCCTTTGGGGGGGGCACAGATCTCCTCCTGCAGAACACCAGCAGAGCCACTGAGAACAGGAACACCACAAAGGCCAGAGCCAGACCCACCAACAGCAGCATGTCTGCAGAGGTTTGAGAAGCACCGATTGGTGTGATTCAAGGGAATTCATCAGGTTTTCATCAGGATTACATATGGGTTCATTATGGTACTGAGCTCCTCCACTAAGAGATTGAAAAACACCAGAGGAAACCGTCATTTCTGGCTGTGAGAGGAAAAGACTCAACCACCAGGAAACCCTGAGCTTCTAATAAACTCTGTACCTTTAGAGGCTGCTCCTTCCTGCTGAGGAGGCTCAGCAGAGTGAGAGGAAGCTGGAGGTTTGGAGCTCCCTGAGCTGGAGCTCCAGCTCTGAGTGGAAGCTGCTGGAGTGGAAACTGCTGGGACATCTGTTGGTTTATAAGCTGTCGGAACTGCTGACACATGACGAAAAAGAAAAAGAAGACATGGAGACCAAACACAGTGTTCAGACTCAGGTGGACAGTTCATCATTGTGCACTTCGGATGGTTCACAGATGATGAAAAACTTTGAATCCTCCACACACATTCAGAGGATTTTCATTAAGTAGAAACTCACCAGCTGAGACCTGGATGCTAAATTCTGTGGATCCATCAAATCCAGGCCTCTGCAGATAACATCTGTACCGTCCCGAGTCAGACTGGGTCAGCTGTGCGATGCTCACATACAGAACTCCTCCTGCAAACCTTCCATCCACATATCCAATCCTGTATCTGCCCTTTTCAGCTCTGACACCATCTGTCTGGACAAGAATCTCTCCTTCGTCAAAACAGCCTCCTCTGCAAAACTTCTTGTTTCCAGATACTTTGAAGGTGCATCCGACTGTCAGAGAGCTTCCAGCTTCTATGCTGAAGGGTTCTTGTTGGCTTTTTTTCAGAAGAGCTGTTAAAGAAAAAGCACCAGCAGTTATTTGCAGAGCAGAAGAAAAGCTGAACTAAAACTGAACTGAAACTGAATGAAAACTAAACTAAAACCTGAACTATAACCTGAACTGAAACTGAACTAAACTGAACTGAAACTGGAGTAAAACATCAAAAGCTGTCAGTGAAACCCAGAAACTCACCGTCAGCTACAACCAGCTCCACCTCTGTGTGTGAAGTTCTGCCCAGAGCACAGCAGTAGCGTCCTGAGTCGGACCGGGTCAGACCTGTGATGCTCACAGACAAAACCTGCTCACTGTAATGGATCCTGTATCGTCCATGTTCAGTTGTTTCACTCTCTGTTTCAATAAGTTTGTACCCTCCATCACAGTTTTCTCTGCAGAATGACTTCACCTCCCTCCTTCCAGATGTGGAGAAGCTGCACTTCATGGTGACGCCTCCACCGACGTGTCCATAGAAAAGCTCCAGTCCATGAGCAGAAGAGCTGTTTGCTGCCTGCAGAGCTGCAGAAAAGACAAAGCATCAGCAGTTAATCTTTGGGTCTCCTGAGAGGTGCTGCAGTCTGATCCCAACATGCTGCTTCACATCCAAACAGAGAGAGGCTGGCAGTGGAAGCTGAGGGCCTGCACATTAGCCTGAAGGAGAAGCAGCCATGCAGGACCCTGGATCCTCTCAGGCCAACAGGGTGCTGCCCCAAACACACACTTTTCATGACCATGTTGCACTTTGCCTGCAGGGAGCTTCACAACATCTCAACTCTCATTTAACACACAACAAAAGGCTCCAATTTGCTGGATTAGTAGAAGATACTTCTGTATGTATGCTATTCTTTCTGCAGGTTTTCTCTCTAAAAAACAGAACTGCGGTAGAAATAAGAAGCTTTTGGTCCGAGGTCACAAAGTGGAAAAGCTCAGCGCCTTACAGCTGTAAGTTCCTCACAGAAACTGACCAAAGTCGTTCTGAGCCGGCCGCTGGTTTTCAGGAAGTGGCAAATATCTGTTCCTGACTTTCTTCTGACAGCAAAGTCAAAGGTCCAAACACAGGCTGAGGCTTGGTTCTGCTCAGGAGCCTCAGAGAGATTACTGAGAGCACTAATGAAGCAGTCTGAGGAGCAGCTGATGCCACAGCCCTGCTCAGAGGAAGACCACTTTTAGAGCTGAGCCCCTGAAAGCACTGCGAGTGGCTCTGGTGGTCCTGTTTGAGCCTGTGGACCAACAGACGCTGACACTGAGAGGCAGGAGGGAAACGAACATACTCACAGAGGAAGAAGAGGCAGAGCAGAGTGTGATGGACGCTCATGTTGGGGCTCTGCTGCTTGGCTGCTGCCTCTCTTCCCTCTTCACTCCTCTAAGGGAAGGAGCTCCTCCTCCAAAGAGGGCCGACGGCGCTCCTCCCCTCCAGCAGCCTGCAGGGGGCTGCAGACTCTTTCTGGATCCCTTTCTGGTCCCACTGCTCAGCACATTTGCTGTGTGGGGCTAAATGTCCCCCTGACTGGCAGCAGGGCTCCTGCATCAGGAAGCAGGCGTCTCAGAGGGGCTCCTTCAGGTGCAGCTGGGAGTTT